CCTACAGCAGGAAACGTCCTTGAGCTGCACGTGATTTCACGGATGGCAGAACACCCCCGATGTGCAATTTGTTCTTACTGCGAGCACTAACAAATCATACATAATGTAACAGCAAAGCAGCTAACGTCGGATTTGCATGAGATACTTTTACTGTGTTTATCCAGGAGTTTTCCTGGTTTAGATGTATTTACCCAAGAGGAATAAGTTCTGCTTCAGGGAAGTTTTGATTTGAGGCAATTCCCCAGCTGGTGGGATAAGGTCAGGCGGCCGTAAGCCACAGTGGGAGTGTATCTGAACCCGACGCCTTCCCCTTGCAAGAAGTGGCCCCAGGTAGGGTTTCTCTGGGTCCAAATGATACATTTTCCTATTCGCAAAACATCAGGCTTTTCCAGAGACAGAATTAAGACGTACATGTGAAGAATCCACATAATTTTCGTGGCTTCTACAGAGCCTCCTTAGCTGGGTGGTGTGTTGGAAAGAGCAAACGCGGGAAAAGGGTGATCACCTCCCTCATTTCACTGGCGCTGTCGTAGACTCCACTTGTGTTCCTGGGGAAGCCATTTAACTACTGTATGACCCCTCCGTAAATGGGAGAGAACAACACACCCACCATCCCGCTGGTGCTATGTGAATAAATGCCTTAAAACAGCTCCCCTGTGGATAGGGCCCAGGAGAAGACGTGCTGCGGAGCTGCAGGCACTGCAGAACAGTGCAGCAGGCTTGCATGAGATACAGGATTCCCACTTGCATGTGGATATTTGCAGTGCAGTCAGTATTTTAAAATACCTTGCCCCCTGTCTTAAAATCCTCCCTAAATTATTAAGGGACTTAAAAATAATTTTAGTGCTTATAACTTTGTTGAAGCATTGCCCTCAGCTCCTGAAACTTGGAATAGCTGAGCTTTACTTCCCCGCCAAGCCTTAGCACTCAACAAACTGTCAGACAAGTGAGAGAGAGTCACTGATGTCTTGAACTAATTTTACAAATTTATGTAATTCTTTCTGGGTAGTGTAGTTATGGCCAGATTTCTAAATGCCAAAATACAGATTATAAGAGTATCAAGCTTCATTTTGTTTTCAGTTCACAGGTAATTAGCATTTATTTTCACAATTGCCATTGTTCCCAGATATTATTATAGCAACATCACAAAACAGGAGATGCTCATTCCCATCCTACTGTCATTGATTTTAAACCCTCATTGCAGCAGAAGAAAATTCGGGTTTGGTTTTGGCAGCCAAAGCTCTGGTCCCTCAGCAGTGGTCTGAGCCGCACGTGGCAGTCGCGCTGCTTGAACCCTATTTTTCCCTATGTGAGAATTTTTTATTTCCTAAGCAGACAATGTGGGGCACTGCTTTCTGATTTTAAGTCCTAACGCCTCACGGCTACAGAGGAAAGTAGCAGGAGCTCTGTTTTCAACATCTGCGGTGCCGCATAACGTTAAGTATGGGGAATGAACCGAGGCTCAACCAGAATTAGCGGGTTCTTGTGACCTTACTGCTTCTCGTCTGTCAAACAGGCCTCCTCAGATCATGTCATCTCATAAGGCAGCAACGAAAAATAATTTCTTTTCATCTGTTAAGACCTCAAATATGACATTGATAAGTCCCATAGAAGAGATAACAAATGGGTTTGTGTTCAGAAGAAGGTTCTGAATAGCGTCCCTAAATGAGGCACGGATTACACGCTGGCCTGTGAGAAGTACAGATGTTTCTGAATAGCTGCTCGTTAAGGTGACAATATCGCTCTGTGGACTGAATAGGTTCTTGGAAAAAAATAATACGTGCTCATGAAATTAATGACTATCACCGCATACTCACAAGGGAGCCCACGTTTCCGACACACAGGAAATACACGTTTCCTAATACACAAGTGTTTGACCTTAAACCTTAATAATGTTCTTTTAATGTACGTCCCAGTTAGCTACACACACACACGCAGAAAGGAGGAGGAGATGGGAAGTGTAAGATTCATGTTTTATGTATATTGTTTAATACTTTCCACAGATGCTTTGGTAGTTGGCATTGCAGGGAGAGATATTCTGATGGCAATTTTAGATTTAAATCATCAAGCAGTCATTCTGATACTAAAAGCACTTGTTCTCGGCTGTTTTATTACAGTCATAGAAAGTGTTCAGGCAGATTACTTGTGAGAGGAGAAAAGTGTATTTTGATATTCCCATAAAATCTTATACTAGATCAGTAGTCATTACCACAGATAATACTAGATTGTATATATGTTATTAATATACGCATAATGCTTTCTGGGATGGAAAGCGGAGAAACTGTGAAAGCCTAGAAAGGAATCAGGTCTGAAGAAAAATGGGGAATTTGAACTAAACAAAGCAAGAAACTCTGCCTTATAAATCAAAATCCAGACTGCGTGTGAAAAATACCGATGGAAATGTTAACCCCCACTGCGTTATCCCCCTAGTTATCAAGATATGGGAAAAGGCATTAAACTTAAGAGTATGACATGAATAATAGTTTTACGGGGATTAACATATCTGGAACAGCTTCCCCAAGGAATGACAACAAGCAGGCGATTTCAGAGCAGGCAGGGGTGTCTTGCAGCTCATTGATTGTCACAAGTGCCCAAAGCACTGCGGGGCACCCCGAAAGCCCTGGGGTTTAGCTGAGTGACACTGGCAGCCTCCGGACCATACAAGCGAACCAAGCATGTAAACATGGTATTACTGGGAAGCGTGCTGATGGAAGCTCTGTGGTCATGATGACTAAGTGTTTCGTGTGCGTTAAAGTTTCCACATTCCTAACATAGCTGGATGCAGGTGAATTTTCCACGTGAGCTGTGCAAGGGAGCCGTCTCCTCCAGCCCCAGTGCACGGTGCCCTGGAGCACCAATTCCTCCTCCAAGCACCCTTGGTCCTGGCCGAGCCAAGCCACGCCACCGCCAAGGAACGGGGGGCATCAGCGCCAGCTTTGGTGCATCTTGCCTCCATCTGTACAGAGGTGACCGACGAACTGATAGGGAGCAGATGTTCATACCCAGCTCCCATTCAGCCTTAACAAAGAGCTCTTTCAACCCCATCTTCTTCTCCCTTTATATTTGACAGATATGCCTCGGTTGGTATGTTGGACTCACAAAGAATATAGAGTCAGAGCTGGACCTCCAGAGCTCTATCCCACCTGCATCTGCCTGTGAGGCTGCCATGTGTTTCAGTGTGGAGTGGAGGGGAATGAAGAAACAGGATTTTCTGCACTCTGGAGAAGACATGAGAGCATTTACGCAACTGTATTTTTCCAGACTTATCTCCTGTTCAAATATACACAGCTGCACAAAAGACAGAAAACCAACTTGCTGTGAGCAATGTTTCCTCACGGCTTATTCACTGTTCTCCCATTCCATCATACGTCCAAAATGCTGAAGCCGTGTTGGTGGGCAGCAGGGATGGATGGAGACTGCAAAGTAGCCGAGACCAGATTTTAATTTAAAAGGAGAGATGGAAAGTTGTCTGCTCCAACTTTTCAGTAAGGCGTTATAAATAATGCACACACTGCACATTCTAGTGTTTTGCTCATGATTTCCAAGCAGAAACCAAGGCTTAAATTCTTTGGAAAATTCATTAGAGCTGAGTAATTTGACCACCTAAAGATGTGACACATCGGAACAAAATCAAGAATATTAGCATTGAATTCTGAAATGTCATGCCTGAGATTCTCTTGTCTGCGTCACTGGAGTATCTCCCTACGGTCAAACATGCACAAGGTAGCAGCGCTTTCTGCTTCAGGAAGCTGTAAAGCTTTATGAATTGCTCACGTTTCAGCCCAGAACTGGCACAGAGCTAGTTCATGACCTGGATGACTCACTGAAGAGGTAAGGCCAAGACCTTCACCTTCACGAAGACCACCCCTGTCTTCGGCCGCGCTAGGCGAAGCTGGCATGTGAGGTCTGAGGCGCGGAGGGGAGGCAGGCTCTGCTCCAGCCCTCCTGCCTGCCGGCAGCCCCTTTCCGAGGGCGTCCGTCTGCCTGCCATGCGGAGCCATAAGGGCGAGGAGAGGAGCACTTGACGGAGAAGTGTTTCTACGAACCGCTCACAAACCATCCCTTGTTCGCGGCTGTCGCTTCGGGAAAGATTTACCCCGCGCTGTTACAGAATCGCTGTTTCAGTCAGAGCAGCATTCAGTCCTCTGGTGAACGTAAGCTGTTATCCAGTTTTGCTTGGTTTTGCGTCCAGAAAGCTAAAAAAGCCAGAGCACGTTAATGGGTGGGGATTTTTTTTTTGAGATCCTGACATGCTCCTCGTGACCATGTTTTGAGTGAAAAACCCCTTTGCCCACCACCGCTACCACCACCCAGCTAAACCAGTTCTGCGGTGCAGTTTAGGCTGAAGCAGAGCAGCTCTCCTCAGCCCGGCCTGTGGCACTGGAAGGGGGGCACCTCCATGACGGACTCCCCCGGCACACCTTGCCGCCCTTCGGGATGCCACAAAACCCCCCATTTCGCAGGTCCCCTTTTGTAGCACTGAGATTAACAGTCGACCTGTATAAAATAAACAAAAAAACACCTCACAAAACACCCTTTATTCCACGCACCGCTCCTGAGGGAGCCGGCCCCACACCAGGCCTCGTCCCTGACAGGATGATACCGGTCTGCCGCCGGCAAGGGCTCACCCCAGCCCTCACCGAATGGGCCCGGACCCGGTGGAGCCGGGAGGGGCGTGAGGGTGACGGGGCGGAGGAGGTTTCACCCCCGGGGACGGACGGCGGGGCGACAACGGGACACCCCCCCCCCCCCGCCATGGCTCCCCCTCAGGTCTGCGGCACCGAGCGATTCCCCTAGGGGGCGCCCTGCTCCGGCGGCCCGCCGGCAGCGCGCGGCG